GAGTCCAGTATTACCCCTAGATTTCTGACCTTGTTTGAAGGTTTTAGGGAGAGAGACTGTAGATGACAGATGACACTCTCTCTTTGTTTCTGGGGACCAAAGACAATCATTTCAGTTTTGTCTGCGTTTAGCTGAAGGAAGTTGTTTTGCATCCACTCACTGATCTGTTGGATACAGTGAAGGAGTGAGTCCACTGGTCCATGTTCTCCTGCAGTCAGTGAGACATAGATCTGAGTGTCGTCTGCATAGTTGTGATAGGACACAATGTTTCTGCGTATTAACTGACCTAACGGCAGCATGTAGAGATTGAACAGAAGAGGTCCCAGGATCGACCACAGCATTCTACTGACGGACGACCCGGTCCGCACACACAGCATTTGGCATACAGCCACATACAGCTTGGGCTCTGGAACCCAACTCCTTGAGAGGGGTTGGACGCTCCACTTTTCTGGTGTTTCCTGAGGGGAGAGGCGGCGAGCGGGGGTAGCCATACTCATTGCCCCCATCTCACCCGCCACGTGTTGGAGTTCTCCCCGGTGAATGAGAGGGTCGCGTGCCTTCGGGTGGGGGACAAGTCTCTCACTGTTGTGACGGTGTGCAGAGTACAGCAGTGCAGAGTACTCGGCCTTCTTGGAGTCCTTGGGAGGTGTGCTGGACAGTGCACCGCCCAGGGACTCCGTTATTCTCCTGGGGGACACTTGGAGAGGGGTGATTGGGAAGAATGGCCCCCCTGATCTGAACCCGAGCAGTGTTCAGTTGTTGGACTTCTTTGCTAGTCATAGTTTGTCCATCACGAACACCGTGGACAAGTGTCAGTGCTGGTCCTACTGGAGCTTAGTGCTGCATTTGACACAATAGACCACAGCATTCTACTGCAGAGGCTAGAATGTGATATAGGTCTTAGAGGAACAGCCCTTGGCTGATTTAAATCCTATTTATCAGATCTGTATTACTTTGTCAACGTAAATCAAAACTCGTCGCCTTATTCTTGAGTGGAATTCGGTGTGCCGCAGGGTTCGGTACTCGGACCGATTCTTTTCACTCTCTACATGCTGCCTTTAGGAAACATTATTAAAAAGCATGGAATTAATTTCCACTGCTATGCAGATGACACACAGCTTTATCTGTCGATGAAGCCAAATCAGACTGATCAGCTAGAAAAGCTTAGTGCCTGCATAAAGGACCTTAAAACGTGGATGACTCTTAACTTCCTACTTCTCAACCCGGAGAAGACAGAAGTGATCCTACTCGGTCCGAAGCACCTGCGTGACTTACTTACTAACCAGATAATCACTTTCGATAATGTCAGTATTATACCCAGTAACACTGTGAGGAATCGGAAAATTAGGATTTTGACTGTAGTTTGTTCATTGCTATTCACCCGTTGTCCCATTATATGTTTCATGGTACGATGACGGGATCTCTGAGCCTGGCCTCCTCCATCTACACCTGCGGACTGCCCTGCCCGACCCGCCTGGGAGTGCTTCAGTCCTGCACCGGACCTGTCCACGTTCAGTGGCCACTGGTCCACGTCCTGTAGCTAGCTTAGGTCCTAGATCATTAGCCTGTCCGTCCGGAGGAGCGGATCCCTTTCTCAAATGGGTCTCCCTCCCTGTGGGTTTCCCTAGTTCTCCCCAAGGTTTCTCACTTTTTCCCACTGGGTTTTTTAAGAGTTGTTCCTTGTCGATGCAGTAGGGTCTTGTTGGACAGTTAGTGTCCAACAGAAAGGATTGGTGATGATCCAGGACACTTTAGCATTCTACAACATGTATGGACATTTGCTTCTGTGTGTGCTTTATATTTTGCTTTAACTGTTGATTCTCTGACCTGTGTTGGTGATTATAATGGTTTTGTTAAGTCCTCTGAGATGACTTCTGTTGTGACCTAGGGCTAAACAAGAATATATTGTATTGTATTGTACCATGTTCGAGTACAAGGGTGTCCGCCAGTCCACGCAAGAAGGGGGATCGTAGGGTGTGTTCCAATTATCGTGGGAGCACACTCCTCAGCCTCCCCGCTAAGGTCTACTCCAAGGTACTGGAGAGGAGGCTACGGCCGATGGTCGAATCTCGGATTCAGGAGGAGCAGTGTGGTTTTCGTGCCGGCCGCGGAATACTGGACCAGCTCTATACTCTTTATCAGATACTCGAGGGTTCATGGGAGTTCGCCCAACCTGTCCACATGTGCTTTGTGGATTTGGAGAAGTCGTTCGTACACTGTAAAAAAGAAAAGGCATTAACTTAATTCTTCAAGTTTTGAAGAACTACACTTATTAAGTTGTGTCAGTTAAGTTTTCCAAGTTCTGCCAACTAAGTGTTTAAATTCAAGTTACTGGAAATTTCAAGTCTGTAAAAACTTACTTTTTTAAATTCAGATTACTGTCCCCTCAGATTAGCCCCCACATTAAAAGATCATGATGTTTATTTATATAGCGCATTTCATGGACCAAGGTCACTTGGGTAGGGGAAACCGGAGCACCCAGAGGAAACCTATGCAGACACAGAGAACATGCAAATTCCACACAGAAAGGCCCTGTTCCGACCGGGATTCGAACCCAGGATCTTTGTGTCAAGAAGCGAGAGTGCTATCCACTCAGCCACCGTGCCGCACACACTGTGAACCAGAGGGGAAACTTAATGTTTCTAAGACTGACCCAGAGAATATACAGGGCTACTTTGGCTTGGCCCTGTCGATTACGGTTGGTAAAAATAAATACAGTGATTTTTTTGGTCAAATTAGTTTGTTCAAAATGTTGAATGCAGCCGGTTGACATGACAAATATTTAAATGAGCAAATGCAGATAAGTTGACCTCACTCTAGCTCGGTGCACTGTAAAAACGACAACTCAAAATTGTTCACCTTACTCAGATTTTGGCATTCACTGACAATAAAATTTCCAGTTGGAACTGGAACTGTCTGTTGTGAGCCACTTGAACTTTCAGAAGTTCACTATAACTTCAAAGTCAAATCAACTTAATATATCAAATAAGATGAACTTTTCATCAGAAACTTCAGAAAGTGAGTTCAAGTGGCTCACAGCAGACAGTTGCAGTTCCAACTGGCAATTTTATTGTCAGTGAATGCAAAAATCTTAGTAAGGTGAACAATTTTGAGTTGTATTTTTTACAGTGTCAGAGTCAGACAGAATTTCTAAAGCTGCGTTCAGACCAAACGCGTTGTGCTTCAAATTGTGACAGACGCTGTCACAGAGCATCTTGGAGGCGCGTCACACGCGTCCAGGACACTAGAGGGCAGCGTTCTGGAGGCGCGTCAAGGAAGAGCGTTTTGAGGCAGGCCTGCTCTGTTGCCAACACAACTCGGAGAGGGAAGGACACGGGAGCCAGGATTAAGGTAAAAAGTGTAAAATATGCTTTAATTAGGACATAAAAGTTACTTCTAATAACATTTGAGGCGAGAAATACCCCCCTCTATTGTCATATCGGAGGTCTGTTTGGTGATCAAATAGAACATTGTCGGACTTTTCTCCAGTGCAGAGAGCGGGGGTCGGCCAGTGTTCAAGCCGAGAAAGAGCGTCTCAACGCGGGGACACATCAGTGGAGCTCTCACAATCTTAATTCTGAAAATCCGAGGCTTTTGTTACGGACTTTCTCTGTATTGGCAATTGTATTGGCAGTAATTATTCGTTTCTACTAAGAGATAGTGTATGTAAACAATGCACACATATGCGATAAATGATATATGATTGATTTATTTACTATGGCCCTCGTTTGTGCATCACTAACATAAATGTAATAACGTGTGTTTTCTGATGAGAAAGGAATATCCATGGATCCATAATAATAATAATAAGCACATCCATGGATCTATTATTATAATAACCACATCCATGGATCTGTAATAATAACGAACATCAGTAAAAAGGAGTTGAACACAGGAAAGGCCTAGAACTGCTCTTTTTGAGGTCTTGAAAAGCAACAGACTGTTACTGATCAGATTAGAGTTGAATGTATTCAATTAGAACTTTAAGTACTGCTGACAAATATGTACCTGTGTAAATAATGCCTTATTTTTCATGACTCTTTACACTTCAGACACAAAAAACTAAATTATAATAACAACAACAAGTTTTATTTTTTATTTTTTATTTCCAGGCTCTTTTGCCCAAAGCCCCCACTGAAAGATCAAGGCTATGCTCACACTCAGAGAGCAGCCGTCCTCCTGTGGACTCACCACCTGCAGAGGGTCAGTGAGGGGCTGGTGCTATGAGAATTGGGTGGCATCTCTGACTGCCACCCCCCTGACCCAGAAATGGATTAAAGGGAAGAAAATGGATGGATGGATGGATTTCCAGGCTCTCTATGAAGGTGTCAGAGGCAGACGCCCAGGACTCTGCTGTTGCTCCTGCTGCTGCTCCTGCTGCTGCTGCTCCTCGTCTTCAGAGTCGCAGATCCCACTGTTCTAACTATTCACGACTAATGATTAAACAAAACATGAAAATATGTTTGTTGTAGTTCATATTGTTAATCCGCAGTGAAGCAGGAGGTGATGGCGATGAAGCTGGAGAAACGATGCCGTGTGATTTTGTTGCTGTCAGAGAAAGTCTGAGTTCCATTTCACCAAAAGTCTCTGAAAAAGAACACAAAAATCATGTTAAAACATGGACACCTCAAAATAAAATACAGAAATCCTTCCTGTATTTAATATTAGAGGTACACAGCAGGAGAAACCTACTCTGAGGAGTAACAGAAGAATAATATATTGGAAATATACACACAAATAAGACTTAGAAGCATGGCTAACCACTTTAAACCTTTTGGAAGTGAGACTGTCATCTGCAAATGTCCTTTATTAATGACAAAAGAAACATCTGTACAATGTGCTCTTATTTCATCATTATATTTATCAGACTATTGTATGAAAAGTGCTTCATAATAAGCCATATATATATATATATATATATATATATATATATACAGTAAATGTTAACTATACAGTATTCCCAGTTAAATTATAGGGTTAGGAATAAATAGAAGGAGGGGATGGGGGGTGGTGAGGTGAGGGTGATATAAATGGATTGAGGAGTATGTGTGGATGGGGTGAGTATAAAGAAGAAGGGTAGGTGTAAAGGGAGTATTTTTGGTGGTGAGTTGGGGGAGGGGATATTTGGGGGGGGGGTGTGGTGGTGGGGGGTAGGTTGTTGGTTTGGGGGGGTTGGTGGGGGTATGTGTTTGTTGGGGGTGTGTTTTTGGTTTTTGGTGTATTATTTGTGATGGGTTATTTGGGTGTGGGGGGGTTTGGGGGTGGAGTGTGTGGGGGGGGTGGGATTGGGGGGGGGTGTTGTGGGTGGTGGGGGTAGTTGGGGGTGGGTGAGTATTTTGTTTGGGTGGGGTGGGGTGGGGTGGTGGGGAGGATTTTGAGATATTGGTTGGGGGGGTTGGGTGGGGGATAATTGGAGTATTATGGGATGGGAGTGGATGATTGTGAGGGTTTGGTGTGAGGGGTTTGATGGGGGGGGGGGTTTTTGGTTGGTGGTTGGGTGAGTGGTTATATTGTTTTGTAGTGGTATTGGGTGGAGGTGTTAAAAGTGATTTTTTTTTGGTTGAAGTGTTAGGTTATTTTAATGGGGTTTGGATAATTATATGGGAAGTGTAGTTGGTGTAAGGGGGTGTTGATGGGGTAATAAAATAAGGGGTAAAGGAATTTTGGGTAGGGGGTTGATTTGATATGGGTGGGTGTTATTATTGGTTGTATGGGTAAGTTGTGAGGTTTTGTATGTTATTGTTTTATGGGAATTGTTGGGTATTGGGTTTTAATTTTGGGGGGGTTTTTTGATGGGTTGTTGTGGTGTAGTTTTTTGGAGGAGTGTGTGGATGTGGATGTGATGTTGGGTTGGGGTGGTTTTGGGTGTTAGGGGGTATAGTTTTTATTTAGAGAGTGGGGGTTTGTAGGGGTAGTAGGGTTATGTTGTTGGGTATTGTTTAGTTGGGGTTTTTTGGTTTGGGGGAAAGGTAGTAAAAGTATGAGGTGATTTTGGTATGGGGGGTGTTATGTGTGGGTAGGGGGGGAGGTGGGGGTGTGTGTGGTTTGAGGGGTTTTTTGTGTGGTTTGGTTTTGGGGTTGGTATGTGGGGTGGGGGGGGGGGTGGGGTAATTGGTGGGGTATGGGTGTTTTTTGGGGGTATTATAGGGGGTGGTGGAGTTGGTTTGTTGGGTGTGGGGTTGTAGGTGTTTATTGTTGTGTTTGGTTGTTGGGGGTGTTGGTGTGGAGTTGAGTTTGGGGGGGTTATGTTGGGTTGTTTATATTTTAGTGGTTGTGGTGGGTGGGGGGGTGGGTGGGGGGGGGGTGGAGGGGGGGGGGGGGGGGGGGGGGGGGGGTTGTGGGGGTTATGGGGATTTTTTTTAGGATGTGTGGGATTTGTGGTAGGGGAAGGAGGGGTTGAGTGGGGATTAGTGTTAATTGTTTTTGTTGGGAGAGGGTGTATGTGAAAGATTGTATTTTTTGAGTTTAATTTAATTTGGGGAATGGGTGAGTGGAGGGGTTTGGTGTTGGGAAGAGTATAATTTTGGAGGAGTAGAGAAGATTAGAGGGGGGGGGATGGATTGTATTTTGAGATGTGATGGATTTATAGGATATAGTGATGGAGAATTAGAGGGGGGGGTAGTATGAATATGAGGAAGGGATGGTGGTGGTTTGGGTGTAGGTATGTGGTGGGAATAGTAGTTATATTAGATTGGATTTTGAATATTATGAATTTATATTGGATTTTGGGTGTGTGGGAGAAGTTGTTTAAGAGAGTGGGTTATGAAGAAAATAGGGTGGTATTAGGGGTTTTTAGTGGGAGAAATGTTATGAGGGGAAATGGAAGGGGGATAGGTGTGTAATGGAAATGGGGGTGATGATGGTATGATTTGGATAGGTTGAGGTGGGGGGGGGGTTGGGGTGGAGTGTGTAATTGTGTTTAAATTGTGAGAGAGATGGAGAGGGATAAGGAGGGAGAAGAGAAAAAAAGATTATTGTTGGGAAATGTGTGGTAATTGTGTGTAATTGTTGGAAGTATTTTGGAGTGAATGTGGTGTGTAGGGGGGAGGGGGGGTTTGGTTGGTGAATGGGGATATATTATGGGGTTTTGGGAGAAGTGGGGGAGAAGGGTTTAAAATTTAGGGGTGTTTTTGAATGGAGGAAGTTATATAGGGGGGGGGAGGATGGGGGGGAGGTGAATATAGATTTGATAGATTGAATATTTATTATATATAGTTAAGTATAATAAGTATGGAAATGGATGTAGTTTGAAGTATTTTGAGTAATACATGTGATTTGAGTAGGATTGGGTTTGGTTTATGTTGGGAGTAGTTGTTGGAATGGGGATGTGGGGGGATGGGGGGGGGGTTATTGTTGTGAGTTGAATTTTTTGGGGATTGGGGTTTTTATGAGAGGGGGGGGGGGGGGGGAAGGGGGGAAAGATAAGGAGGGGATAAAAGAGGAGGAGGTGGGGAGTATAAAGTGAATGAGTGGGTATAATTTATATTTTTTTTGAGGGGAATTTTTGGAATTAGGGGGGGTGTGAAAAGTGGGGTGTGAGGTATGGATTGGGAAAGAGTGAAGTATGTTGGTGGTTATATAATATATAGATGGTGTGAGGGTTTTGGGGGGTAGTTTGAGTAGGGGAGGTTGTGGAGGGAGTTGGGGGGGGGGGGGGGGGGGGGGGTTTGAGGTATTTTGAGATGTTTTTGAAGAAGGGGTTAATGAGTTGGATTAAGGGTGAATGGTGGGGGTTTGAGTGATTGGGTTTGGTGGGGGGTTGGGGTGGGTGGGGGGGGGTGGTGGGGGGGGGGGGGGTAGAATAGGGGGGAGTTTGTTTAATGTATAGGGTAAGGAAGGGGATGGAGGAATGGGGAGGAGAGGGGAATGGTGGGGGAAGATGGGAGGGTGAGGTTAAAGATGATAGGGGGGAGAAGGTGGGGGGTGGTAGTTGTTGGAGATTGAGGTTGGAGTAGGGAGTGGAGAATGATATGTGAGAAGTAGGGGGTTGTGTGGAAGTGGGGGGAGGTGGAAATAAGAGGAGGAGAGGGGAAGGATTATGGGAGGATGAGAGAATGTTGGGGGAGATTTGATAGAGGGAATATATAGAATTAGAGGGGAGGGAGGGGATGTGTAGTAGTAGAGGTTAAGAGGTGAGAGGATTGAGAGGATGTTAAAGGAATGAGAGTGTAGGAGGAAGAAATAGTGGAGTAGGGGGAGGAGGATGATGTAAAAGAAGATTGAGAGGTGGGGTGGGATTGGTAGTAAGAATAAAGGATTGGATGTGGGGTATGGTGTTGGGAGAGTGTTTAGAGAAGAGTTAGAGGGAGGTGGATGGAATGAGAGGGAGGAGGGAAGGGGTGGAGGATTGAGGAGATAGGGGAGGGATAGGTAAGGAGGATAGGAGGGGTGGGGGGGGGTGAGTTGGGAGGAAGGGGAAGATGGATATGAAGAGGATAATAAGTAAGGTAGGATGGAGGTAGTGGGGGAATATAGTTTAGAGTGGTGGGTGGTAGGGGGATTAGGTGGGGAATGAGTGTGGAAGGGGTGAAGGTGGAGAGAGGGGTAGGGGTGGGGAGGAAAAGGGAGGGTAGCCTCTGGGTGGAGCAGGACGGGTCACAGGCAGCAGAGGTGGAGTAGCCTCTGGGTGGAGCAGGACGGGTCACAAGGTGGAGTAGCCGCTTGGTTTGGGCCATTTTCTCTGCTCTAGTCCAGAGTAAAATGCTAAATGCTTCATTAGCCTTGAAACCATGAACACTGTACTGCAGCAACATCTCAGGGAGAAAAAAGCAATAAAAAGAAAACTGTTTCAGAGCTACTTAGAACTTGCAGCAGTTTTCCAGCGCATTCAAAAGACCGTTCATGGACCTTTTGGAGCCGGGACCTGCCCCCACTTCTCAGACCCCGATTGGAAGCGTCTACTCTGGTCCTGTTTAACCCAGTGGCACATTTTTAGTACCTGCTTGGCCCTTGTTCTCTCCGGACCGAGCTGGTACGAAAGTGTTCTAACTGATTCTAACTCATTGTGACAAGGATTTTGCTTATTGCAGGTTATTTCTAGAGCGTAACCACAACGATACATCTGAGACCACCGCACTTCACGACTGACCCAGTAAAAAAAGCCAATAAACCTGGATCGTGCTTGAGCGAATCTGATTTGTTTGAACTCCGTCCTCAAACCTTTCGCACAGCCGTGTCGGACGCAGCTTATGAATGAGTCTACAATAAGGGGAGCTGGCAGAGGGCAGACGTTTTGCTCTTGAATAATCACCGTTTAGATGGACGATCGCGGCGCTCATACGACTGCCTAGAGCCCGGACCTGTGTGCGCTGGTGAGGCATGACGAGCCGCACACAGAGGAGCTTCTGATGAATGACTCACTTAAACACAAAGGTGAGTCCACGTCACAGATTTCTGAAGCTGTTAGAAAATATATTTTAGTGGAGGAGTAGTCTGGGCTGTTTGAAAATACACATACCCTAACCCACAAAGATATATTTTTATATATTTACCTGACCAGAATTCTATTACTCACAGGTTCTTAAAAGCATTGAATTTATTAGTTCAAGGCATTTCCACTGATACTGGTTTGTTGTGGATAGATTTCTAGGATCTGTTCCAGATACTAGGCAAGGCAAGGCGAGTTTATTTGTTTAGCACAAATTGCTTCAAAAAGAACAAAGGTACGTTCAAATCATAGATACACTCAAAAAAATGAATAGCGACTATTGTTGGTTTTACTTAATAACATTAAGTAGAATTTACTTAAAAAAAATAATTTCTTCACTTTTTTCAACACCATTGAGTAAATATAATGAAGTACTTTCAATTAAAATGATAACTCAAGACGGCTGGTTAGAGAAAACTTAATTGTTTTAAGTACAACATTAGGTTTGTCTTTCAGGGCTTGTGGCAACTGCTTGCTCAAATGCACTTTGTATTAATTTTATTTTTTACATGTTTTTAAATTTATTTTAAAATGTTTTAACAAACAATAAAACACACAAACATACATTAAGAAACAAACATAAAAAAGGTGTCTTATACTGTCCAATGAACTGTTCCTCACCATTTGTCTTTTTAAAATTATTATTATTCATAATAAATGTTATTATACAATGTGACAAACATGTAGTACTTGACAAAGACAGAAAAGTTCTCGTGTTTCTAACTTCTGTGGGACATGATTTCACAAAAAAGGTAATTAAATATTGTACTGTTATCAAACAAATCTTTTCACATTCACATTATGAGTTTGATTACTATAAAATGGATGTTTGAATGTGCTGTAAAGTATATCAAATAACTTTGAGTTTTTCAAAGATTCTTGAAAAGGTTGCGTATTTATTATGAACTAAATTCAAATCATTGGAATTACTAAAGTCTACTGGCCTGGAATTACATGACAACGTTTAATAAAGTGTACCAAGTTTGGTCCCGATTTGTTGCCGTAGCTGACTTCCGCTATACGTCACGCGCAATACTGTGACACGCATGCGCACCATGGGATTCCACAACGTGGACTGGGGCCCGGGGCCCGGGGCCGTCTGGAGGACTCGTTTTCTAGCCATCATAAGGTACTTTTATTTACTTTGCATTGATATTTTTCATGACATTTCGCTGCTAACTAATCAAACTGTCAAAGATGTATGTATTTATTAGGCTCTCAGCGAACCTTATCAGTAATCTGCCGACGTACCGCCATTTTGTTCGTTACTATATTTTACATAGTAAGCCCTTTCATCAGTCAGAAGACATTTTACATGAGTTTTATAGAAAATATAGGGCTGCTGCATGTCCGTGGCACTGGCACCGGTGTTCGAACGCGCCTGGAGCAGAGAGACACCGTGTTTGTGCTCGGGTCGGGTACACACACTGTGCCCCATGTGCTCTGGGCGGGTTCAAACACAATGGTACCGCTCGCGGTTCTGCTCGCAGTGGTCAGGAATGTGGACGTGGATGTGTAGATGTCGATGAGAGAGCGCTGCCACGCGTTATCGCCATCTTGAGCGGGAAGTTCGTCAACCCGTTTATAATCTATTTCTAATTTGTACTTATTCAGTCTAAATGGCGTTGCGTTTCAGTAAATATGTCGTCAGAATGATATTATAGTGTTTCTCCATTACAGGAAAAAAACAATTCGGTTCAAATCAAACTTTTTTTCCCATGGGAAGAGCTATAAAATGTATAAATTGAGGCCTAAAACAGAACAGTGTCAGTTCATAGTTACCTTATGTAAATTAGTGATATAGTATAGTGTAATATCGGGCTTTGTATCACCCGTAATAAAGAAGAGGTGTATATAGTCTAACGGTCTTTTTTCCCTGCAGATCTTTTGATGTGGCAGTGTAAATTGCTGGAAAGAACTTTTACTTAAGCATTAC